AATATCCTTGACATTAATATGTAGTTTGTCTAATTAATTGTCACACGAAAACACAAGAACAATCATTTGTTCAATTAATCATTTATATAGTGTACTAATAATGCTTCAGTTAGGTACTTTTTCCTAATGCGGGTTAATGATCAGTATACGGACTTGCATCGTTAATAATGGAATCCAACTCTTCAAAAGAATTTTTATAATCTATGATAAGGGTCGCATTCTGACAATGTTTACTGCAAAAATGGAATTAATATGACGTCAATATTTAATGTTGTAACTCTAAAGTTATTGATCAACCTTAAACATTGTCTTCTAAAAAATGTGTCTGATATTCAGTGTTTAACGTGACTGAAAATAGCCACTAGGGATACGAAATAAGGGAAACTACGTACTGAAAAAGGAATATTAAACAGATGCAGGTTACTGCTAACCGTACACCATAACAGTGACAAAAACCGTGTGAGTCCGGGGCGAAATGATGCCGTGATCGCTATAGAAATGCCAGCACAATGGGCCAGCAAAGTGATAAGACTACTGGATCGTAGGAACATCCAACTATATCCGGGGGACCACATACTGTACAACAAAAACCACCGTGTCTACATCTGGGATAAGAATGGCAAGGCACGGGAAAACACATTCCAGTATCAATAGCTGGTTGATCTGGTCTTTCTTGGTTTAATGACGGACGATGAAATACTCGTCAAAAAGCTATTGATTAATGCACAACGTTATGCACAATATGCAGAGTATTACATTATAGACTCATTGATAAGTATATGTAATTTAGGAGAGATTATTTTCTAGTTTAAAAATTAAATATTAGAAGTCTAGATTGTTACAGCTATTTCGGATTGATCGTAGCCAATCTCCGAACGATGAATCTTTGCAACCACCTTTTTGTTGTTCGGGATGCAACTATGTTTGTGTTCGTGACAAAAGTCGTTTTCCCATCAGGTACTGCAGTTGACTTAACACCATCATATTATAGTTGGACCAAGGCCATTAAGTTTCAAGGGATACAACGCTGAATCAAAACTGTTGCTAATTCTTTTTTATCTACGGTCGTGTTTCGGTAGTTCGAACTAATCACCTGCCATCATTCTGATTCTGTGAATGGACTAATTCTGGCTGATTTATTATGAAAAAATTGCTGCGTGTTCTCCAGTTTAAATGCTACATTATTACAGACCCTTAGAATGAAATTGTGACTGTCAATTTTTTTCTCTATCCAAAATTTGATAATCTTAATCAACGAAACAACAGTACAAATTATTTTCTTGTATGTTCTCGGTTTTTATACCAGGATGGTAAACATACATTGATCTTGACAGGTAAATCGACAGTTTTATGTGTTGAGAAACGTTTCATAGAATAACTTCAATGAACAATACAATTCTATTTATACATTTCACGAAGACGAAAAAAAACTCCAATTGTTTTAGGTCTTATTGCTAGACAAGCAATGTAGACTACAAACAGCAATGTATGCTGATCATTGGTTAAGAAACATTTCAAAATCAGAATTTGCGACATGACAAAATTAACATGTAGTTGTGGGATCGCACAACGTTACACGATGTGCGGTGTGCGCACGAAGTGTGCACGGTGTGTGAACGGTGTGTGTACGATGGACGAACGATAAAAAGCTGGACGATCATTGCTTGCGCACATTTGTGTGCACGATGGACGAACCATGAGCGATAACAATCGTGGTTTGTGTAAATTGAGGAATGCCTTAACAATTTATACGGTTTCGTGTTTAAACATATACACTTGATTTTTACGTATGTTTCTATATTCTAGCTACATCTATAAACGTATTTTTCTGTCTATACAATCTTATGTTTAGAAATTGTGTTTTCGGTGTTTTTAAACAAACTTAATCGACACATGTAAAATTACAACACAAACCCGTATACAGGTAAACATAACCACTCTGTACATGTACCTGGACCGTAGTTCCCCCCCCCTCCCCGCCTGGGGCACTTACGTAACTCGTCGGGTAAGGCCGGGGGGGGAAAATCCAGGGGAAGGGGAGCTATATAGGCAAACGAATTGAAAATCACAAATACTATTCATTACGGTCATACGGTATCGCATATCAGCTCTGTGTGTCAGGCACTGGTCAGGTAAAACTCCGGACACTCATCAAATTGTTATTTACCTGTTCGGTTAACTTAGCCTGTAGCCAAACCCATTCTCGACAGCCTAACGGTCGCTGTAATACTGTGTAACACGCATTTTGAAATTGTATAATCTTGATTATTGTGATGAGAAATTACAGATATATTCAAAGTGTACATTATCGCATACGAGCCTTCCGTAATTTTTGTCATTCCGTAATTTTGATCTACAAATTATACCAAATCGCACAGTTGTGCGGAGAGAAGCGCACAACGGGGCGAACGATTGTTAAATCGCACAGTTGTGCGCACCATGTGTGGACGATGTGTGAACGATGTATGCACGTTGTGCGCACGCTAATTTTGGTGCGTTGTGCGTTCACACAACTGTATAAGAAATATTTATTTAAGGTGGTTAATTGAGGACAACTAAAAGATATTCAGCTCGTTGTAACGAATTAGCATCTCGTTATATCGAGCTAGTATCTAGTTATACCGACCAAGCATCTCGTTTAATCGAGCTAGTATCTAGTTATAACGATCAAGTATCGCGTTAAAACTAGATATTGTCTCGTAACAACGACTTAATATTTCGTTATAACGAGGCAGTATCTCGTTACAACGACATTGCTATCTATTTATCTATAATTTCATCTTATAGAGTACAAAGTTCATTTCCAAACTATCAGTTTACTACATACAAGCCAACAACGAATAAATTAAACGTACATCGTCACGTACACGTACAACGTATATTAACCATATACTTGTGTCATTTGTTATAGCCAAGTTATACATGCAACAGGTAAAGTTAAGCTGATCAGATGTTTTAAAGGTATTTATAAAAAAAACACCCACCCTTTCAGATAACATGAAGTTAACAGTTCTATTAACCTAAATGGGCAAGTAAGTAACCGATATGAATTTCTATTTAAGCTCTTCATCAAACTAACGAGATAAAATAATTATTTAGATATTCTCAATCAGTCACCGTATTATTGCATTTGCTATTCTATTAAACAGAATTTGAGTACTCAAATTTCTTATCGTTTGTATTTATGTATTTTCACAAACAATGGTGTCGTCTCCCTTGGTACTGAAAGGCTGAACTTGCAAATTACAAAACTATTACGTTTGGAAATAGTTTACATAATTGCTTAAATATCTAGGTGAGCGATATTGACCACCTCGATATGTTGTTATTATATATGTTCTATTAAAAAAGACTACCGTTTTTTATTTTTTTTTAAAGATGCATGATGTTTAATCTTTACAATGCATTCGAGTTTTTACATAGACCATAAGATGAAACAGGTGTAGATATCATCTGACATCACAAATACATTATCATTCATCCAACTATTCAGTACTTCATAATTCGTTATCAGAGCTAACGGAGAAACAGGGCAACACTGGTCACCTGAGTATGTCTATTTGCTAAAAATAACCTGTTACGATTTGTGGAAATGTTGATTTTCGATTCGTGGAACTATTTAAGTTTCATAATCATCATTACGTTTTGCGAAAATGTTGAATATCGATTTGTGGAACTATTTCAGTTTCATTTTCGCTTGAATGCTATCTGATATTACTGCGCAGTTTATTATTAAGTTACAGCACGGTTGAGGGAAACGGAACACCACTTGAAAATATAACAAGTTATGGTCACCCTTAACCGTTATACAAAACACGCATATCAAAACTATCGATAGAACACCGAATATTGAATGTATACTGACATTTTCTGTGACTTTGCCATGACTACCTTACTTAAGTCATTACACTTCACTTTCATCATAACTGATGTAAAAGGACATTTCTTGTTGATCTTCTACACCCGCTTGAACTTGAAATATGTAGAATGTGAAGAGTCTGCTTCATCATGAATTTGCTTCGATCATTTCTTACCAGTTACCACATGACCAGCATGCTTATTTCAAAACACGAATGAATTACATTGAAGACTGCACCAGGCAATGGGCAACAAGTTAAACTTGTTAAATCTATTAGGCCACTATTCTTAAAAGAATTACTTGTAGCTTCATGATATTCAAAATGAAAACCAAATCCATGTCCGTATTTCGTTACCCAGATGTCTAACCACTTGCACTAATCTGCATGACAAGAATGTCATTGTGTCGACAAACAAAGCCCCTAAGAAATTGATGATCGGTTGAAGATACTATTTCATATTTTATTTGCATAAACGAACCACACTTGCTTGATTACTAAGAAAATTCTGCAACTTTTCGAAAGACTAAATATTACCTAACAATGCTTCTGTTTGGTACCTTTTCCTAATGCGGGTTAACGATCCGAATACGGACTTGCCTCGTTAGTAATGGATTTAAAATATTCAAAGGAATCCTTGTTATTAACGTTTTAATAATTATATGATGATAACGGTCGCATTCTGAAAATGTATACTGCATAAATGGAATTAATGTGATGTAACGTTTTTATGTTGTAACTCTAATATGGAAAACCAAATTAATATACATTCAATTACTTGTGCATATCTAATGTTGTAACTCTAATATGGAAAGCCAAATCAATATACGGATAGTCCACCAGCAGAGACAAAAACTGTGTGACGTAAATAATTACTAGAAAAACAACGTGAAGAACTATTGCCTCTAGGCATCGACTTACCGCTTTTCACAAATAGGTTGTTAAATATTATTAGTCATCTTTTTACGTCACAAGATCAACCTAAAAAACAAATTATATCAAGCACTGCACAATAAGCTATTTATATTGTTGTGAATATATCAAAAGTTGTTGAACTCGTACCCCCTCACATTGATAAACACATTAATCAACTAGTTTTAGTAAAATCAGCAACATTAATGACTCAGTCAAACAATATACATGTTAGATTTTGCACACACGTTTATTGGTATTTTGAATTAAATTAACTTCATACACAATCAACAGGTTGATATCGCTGTTTTCCACATATGTGTTTGGATTTGATAGGAAACATACGTTTAAGTTTTACTTGTTTTCAATTGTTTTCAAGACATATTTCTTTTTGAAGTTTTATGGATTTCAGATCTTGTCCTTGAGTGTCTATATCTGCTATTTCCTGTTATATGCTGTTGGCTTGATTAGGATATACACTGTATTTATGTTTAGCAGTGTGGAGTACGTGGTCTTTTGATAGATAAATCTCTTTGTTGATGACGTTGGTGTATAAATAAATGTACTTCCTCTTTAAATTAGATAATATCTGCAGGATACGGGTATTTCCACTCAGCAGATTGTTATGAAACTTGAAACCAGAATAGTGACACGTAATCAACATGTCATGGTTTTTCCAAAAAGCAGACAACACAGTGTTAAGAAATCACTACGGGCACGTCTTTTGGGCGTATAATAGGACACGTTGTGAACCCCTAGTCCTTTGTGATGTGTTCTATTGACGTCAATCATAAATGATTATATAAAAAAAATCAAATAATATTGATAATAAAACGGATGGCTTTAAAGTCGGGTGTCGCTCCTCCGTAATCTTTAAAGGATAGGTATAAGACTAGTGGTCAGTCAGATTTGTTTTACCGAGACTAATCAGATAGCTATCTGCGAGCCTATAATTTTGGTATGGCATATTCCAGGGGTGAAGAGAGCGAAAGTGAGCATAACCCCTGGAGTATCGAGGATGCTGTCGGCGTATTATTTCATCTACACACGTCATCGCAATACATTGAAAGGAAATATTTATAATTATAACGACACGAATTTAAAAGTAGCGAATCTTAATGAATCATGCATTTCAAAACACATAAGAAATACTTCATAAAGACCAGTGAGGGATAAGGTTACTTTTTGGGTTTGTACTCCTTAGCCTTTCCGCTTTCATCCCGGACAAAAAACCTGGGATTCTTGTCTGTAATTGTGACATTATCCTCTGTTTTATAAACGTTACGATCCGAATCCACCTTAACAAACTGACTTTTGGGAACGTCAACTGCTATAGCCACTTCCGTTTTGCCCTCCTTCATCTTTTGATCTGCTAAACGATTGTTGGATCCGTCGTAGTTATTCCTCGCTATTTCGCTCCGGCTTTTCTCTGGACCCAAACTAGTCAAGTAGGTACCTGGACCATATGTGGCATCATTTTGCGTATCAGTCGATTTCTTTATGTAACCTGATTCCTTTATTTTCCGAGCATCTTTCTTACTTGTGTAGTGGTACAGAGTCATTGTTTCTTTTTTCTTGTCTGAAACCAAATGTCCTTTTAGTAGGTGTTTTATAATTGTTACCTTTGTATACAATGTTGATATTGATATACATTTGAAAATATCATTTTTTTATATTACTTACATATTGGGCATATATTTTCTGAGTGTGTGTATTTTTTTTAGAAAAATAATCAATTTCGTAATGTTTCATAGATGTTGTAAATTGTGTTATAATTATAATACCCTAAAAGAAAGGTTTGATTTTACATCTTTAGAAAGAACACGCTCTATATAATCATATTTAGGCGACATGTATTTCCAAAAATATAACGACTATAGTTGTTTGGGTCCGAAGGACCATGGTGGCTTATGCCATACGGCAGCGTCCGTGGACCGTCGTCCATCCGTCCGTTAACTTTTCCTACAAACTGCTACTAGTCCTGAACGGCCAAGAAGATTTTGACTAAATTTGGTCTGGATCATCCTTAGGCCAAGGAGACTCAATTTTGGGTAAACGGTGGGTGTGGCCCTCCTGGGGGCAGAGGGGCGGGGCCCAAAAGGTAAAACCTTTCAAATCCTTCTTCTACCGTAGGGATTAAAATATTTTATCTTCATTTAGTCTGGAGCATCCTTGAATGAAGGGGACTCAATTTTGTATAAACGGTGAGTATGGCCCCATGGGGGAAGAGGGTCGAGGCCTAGTTGGGGAAATAGAGATAAAACCTTTAAAATCCTTCTTCTTCCATAGGGATCTAGGGATTTTATCCTTATTTAGTTTGGAGCATCCTACGGCCAAGGGACACAATTTTGTATAGACCATGGCTGTGGCCCACCTGGGGCAGAAGGGCGGGGCCAAATAGGGGAAATTGAGGTAAAAGCTTAAAAAAATCCTTCTTCTACCGTAGGGATGAAGGGATATTATCCAATTTTAGTCTGGGGACAGAGGGGCAGGGCCCAATAGGTATATAGAGGAATAGCTTTAATATAATTCCTCTTTCGTTAGGAACATCTGGCTATTTCAACTTCATTTTGCTAACATTTCAAGGTGAGCGATACAGGCCATCTGGGTCTCTTATCTTACTAAGATGTTGGAAAGAAAAACTACAACAGACAATAACCATTAACAAATTAAGGTGTCCACAGTTAGACTGACTCATTTTCAAATGCGCCCTGTCCGTTTCAACAGAATTCAGTTTTAAATGCACCAGGGTCTTTTGAAAAAGTATAAGATCGCCAGACATCGAGATTAAGAGAAAGAGAATATTAAAGAGTAAGTCCGTTATTAGTTAAACGTTTCAATAATATTTTTTATTACGTCCTAGCTATCGCATACTATACTTCCTAAACTATACAATATGCAAGGTTTACTAGTCTTTTTGAGGCAGTTAGAAATGAAGTGGGGTACATTCTGTAACGAGGCTAAGTTGACGACCTTTCTGTATGAAGAATCAACACGACATGCCATACCGTCATCTCTTTTACAACTGTACCATCCATACAAACACTTCTGCTCCTTCTTAAATCTTCTTAAACTTAAGAAATACCTACCTATACAACTTAACGTGCTCCTTATCACAGATCATACTATAAATAAACTTATGTTTAAAAATTTCATTTACAAATTAACTTCCGACCCCACCATCTCCAAAATCTATAACATGTATTCTATGCAATCTTATGAAGATATTGTTAATTAAATAAACAACAACAAATTTTATCTTTACACTACTAGTCCTTAATCGGCGTACAGAAATATACAACATAATATATTAATCTTGAGGCTAAACAAAGGAAAGGAAATTAAATTTATCATTCGGAATAAAATATCCAAAGTGTGTGGCAACGTATGTCATAATGGACTGGTGTCTAGTAAACAAATTTTTCTAATCTTTTGATCGTTTATATCATGTGTGCCTCCTAATCCTTTTTTAAGTTAAACATTCACATACCTGCCATCTTTCGGCGTCTAGATCAGAAGATGTGTGTATGATGTTGATATGTACCAAGTCGTCTCTTAACTGTAAATTGTGAGCTTTAACTGTTAATATATGCTGTTGACGTGGGTATATAAATAGATGTTGTTTCACTTTACATACACTACTTCTTTCATGATTACGTGGGCAGGGTTTTCCAAATGTCAGGTGAAGACACAACATATGTACGACAAGTACTACGTAATGACTACATAAGGGTTTACCTGGAAATATTTAAATGTATTGCTTTAAGCACCTGTTCGGGGGAAAATATAACAATAAATGGGTCTGAATGCGTTCTCTGGTCTTCCAAAAGTTTTACCACGGCAATATGATGGTCGAGTTCTGCTTGCAATGTCCATATTTGACCACTGAAATCTCGGGAAAGCCCCGCGTAAATTTAGCACAGATTTATTTATAAATGTTACGTGGTTATTTCGAAAGCGAGGCAGTGAAGATAAATACAGGTGAGCTGAGCCGGCCAGGAATTCCAATAAGACACATATAGCACGCCGTCTCTCAGCCATGTCGGACTCATCTAGCGGACAAGACAGCAATACTATACGTAAATAATTGTTTTAGGATGTCATGTACGCTGCAAGTGTAGTATTCCTACCTATATGTTGTTGTTCTATATAACTGTATTGAGTATAATGTCAATAAACGTTGAAATCACTGCAAATCGCCGTCCAATGCAGCGATTGGACCCCATGAGGGGTAATCTAAATCCCGCCATCAATGTCATCGTTTCATTTGTAAAGTTGTATTTAATTTAATTAACCAAAGCATATCGTAAGTAAAATCACAACAAGTTTTTGCCTAGGAATTTTGGGAATACTCATTAAATAATTAAAACGGCCCAAAGACGTATCTAGACCAAACTTGATACGCAGAGAAATTTTCAACTTCAAGTAAACAGGCATATTGACATTGTGTCATTGAAACTTTGATAACTATGCCTATCAATTAATTATAGACGTGTTAATTACGCACAACATCACTTTTTTGATCCAGTTTTAATCTATTTTACATTTATTGTGATATAAAGAAAGCAGACTGTTTGAATGTACACAAGTTACACATACTAATTGCCCTACAATATTTCAATTATGCAATCATAAACCACATAATTATATCATATATATAAAATGATTGCATACCTATTCTGTGATTTGAAAAATACCTCACTCGTGGCTCTAACTTGGATGTTATAGATGAAGATAGAACAAGGGGTTGCATGACCAAAGGTGAAGGTTACAAGAATATTGTTATGAATTCTAAAAGCAGAGTTGGTTGGAATCCATCAAGGAACTACATGGTCACCTTTAAATGTCACCAGGTCAAAGGTTTTCAAAGTCACATTCATATGTGTATACATGTTTTTGTATACTTTTACCTTTTGTTTACGCATTCGATGACTCTATTAAAGTGGTAGATTATTTCGTTTATTGTGTCATCACTGTCCGGTGAAATATCGTAGTAAGGACACCGGACAGTGATGACACAATAAACGAAATAATCTACCACGTTAATAGAGCCATCGAATGCGTAAACAAAAGTCATGGAAGAGCCACAATAAAGTGCCCCCCCCCGTTCAGTACCACAAACTGGAATAAACACAAAGGTCTTCCTAATACCAATGACTTGAAAGAGCAGGACAAAGATATTTCATGTCAATATAAGCTACTGAATGACAGAAAACTACCAGTCAACCGTGAAACTAACCAACAATATCCTGCACTGTCGTAAACAGAAAGCAGAATTGCCACGGTACTCCTACAACTTCAGCTTATTGAAAGACGGAATCCACCCGGGGAAAAACCTTAGTGAAGTGTGGACTAAATTATTAGTGAGAGATGCACACCAAGTCAAGGAGGTTCACCACCATGGGGAGGTTCTGATGTTGATAGTGGACACCGAAGACGAGGACTGCCTATTATAATCAACTTACAAGCGATCAGTAGTAGGTGTGATCATCTCATCACTACACGATAACTTGTATCCAACATATTAGCTGGCCATCTTCATGTTGATCGGACATAAAACACTACTTCATCTCCTTCAGCAATGTCGGTTTAAGTAATATAAGTTAATAGTAGTAGGTTGGATTATCTCATCACTCACCATAACTTGTATTGTATACATTAACTAACTGCTAACTCATTCACACCGTTCCGCCACATTTATTTTAAGCTAAGTAGTAGGTGGGATTATCTCATCACTGCTTCACAACTTATAAATAATGGCCGACGGGGGTAACTTCTCGTTCATAAATCGCAGCAAGAGACCACGAGATGAAAAGTCCATGGAAATGTGCGGAAAGTGTGATGCAAAACTTGAAGCCACATCAAACCATATACCCTGCAACGGATGTAAGCTACAATTCTGCCAAAAATGTACCGGTATATCAGACACAGTATACGCCTATATCCAGAATGGAGAATTAGCCAATATGTCATGGTCCTGTAGGAGTTGCACACACATGAAACCAACACTTGATAATATCAACACTACTCTGAGTCAACTAAGGGAATCTAACGAACAAAGAATCACAGGTGTTGAATCAAGACTTACGGACCTGGAACCAAATACAAGAAAGCAGATCTCAGATGACATGTCAAGCTCAAAACAAGAAATACTTGATGAAATAAGGCAAGACGTTAACAGCCTAGTTGACAAAAGAACCAAAGAGCTAGATGATCGCAAGGCCAGAGAACTGAACATTATACTATTTAATCTACCTGAGAAAAACCTTGTCTACAAAACTTGGACTGGACAACGTGGAGACAGCCACACACTTCAGACTTGGGAAATATATCCCAAACAAAATTAGGCCACTAATTGTAATTTTGTCCAACAAAATGCAACGCAAATTTCTACTGGAAAAGGCAAGAGAGATACCAACTAAAGCTCCAGACCACCTAAAGCGAGTTATGCTAACCAAATACAGAACTCGCGAACAAATTCAAGAGAGAAAAACATCAAGGGCGCAAAGGGTACGTAATGAACCAACCACCATAAACAGACGAGAGCAAGTAACTCCTACACAGCATATGGCACCAAGCCCTATTGCGAGGGAACCCATGGACACTTTGGGAGCGGGTAGAAATACACAATACTTTAACAGAGAGCAGACAACTCCATCAAGACAACCTGCACCTAACCCTACTGCGAGAATTAGTCGAGAACCTCCACCTTCACTAGACACGTGGGGTGACCAAACACTACCTCATTGCAGCCAAAATAACAACGTCTCCGTTATGGATGGTACATTAAGGGAAGAGGACAGCTTTATTTACGTACCAACGTCATTGACAGTCGAACGAGCATAGGACAACATTTTTACCCTTTTAAACAATGTAAGTACAAGGACTGAATGTCATCTTAACTGTAATAAGCTTCACTGTTACTTTTCCAATGTCGATGTATTAACTTTATCAAAAAAGGCTGAATTGGAGCAATACATAGCTGAGGAAAATCGAGATGTAATCTGCCTAACGGAAATAAACCCCAAATCAGCGTCACTACCGATAGACGAACAGATATTCCAACTAGACAACTGTAACGCCTTCTTCTGTAACCATAAAAAAGGAGTAGTCATATATACAGCATGGCACCTCATGCTGACGAAGTAAAGTTAGACTGTGACAGCGAGGAATACATTCTGGGTAAAATCACGTTAAATCAGCATGACAGCCTGACCATAGGCTGCATCTACAGAAGCCCCAACAGCAATGACCAACTTAGTGCAAAACTCCTGAGCCTACTAGATAAAATATCAGCAATGAATGTGTCACATTTACTACCGGTAGGAGACTTCAATCTAAAAGAAATCAACTGGGAGACATACAATTTGCGTACAAACAACAACCACATTGCCTCCACGTTCATCGAAAAAATACGTGATTGTTTTCTATCACAACACGTTAACCAACCAAACCGGTACATTGTATTAACCAACGAAAACGATATGATAGACGAAATTAAATACCTACCAGGTTTAGGCAAGAGCGATCACATTGTATTGACATTTGAATTCTTTTGCTATTCCAAACCAAAAGCTAACAAAACGAACAAGCTATGCTATCACAACGGGAACTTCGACAACATCAGAGAAGACCTGGGAGAAATGGATATAGCCGAGCTAAAGTCAAAAAAATATACCAGTGAGCAAGATAGGACCATGCATGATTACTAAAAAGCCCTACATAGACAACAACTCGTTAGAAGCCATTCAAACTATACACCGAGCATGGACAAAGTACCTGCACTGCAAAACTGCTGAAAACTACGAGGAAGAACACCAGACATAGAGCAGCAACAGCATTGAAAAAGTCAATGAAAAAATACGAAAAGGGATTAACCGACAACATAAAAATCAACCCCAAGGCATTCTGGAACTAAATAAACTCCAAAACAACGACACAAAGTACCATCAACAAAGTGACAAAAGCTGATGGAACACTAACAACAAACGATAAGGAAACAGCAGAAACCCTCAACAACTACTTCGCTAGTGTATTTGTCATCGACGGCAACACCAACACACCAAATCTAACCCCAATGACATATGAAGAAGCGCTGGACAACATTATAATATCGCCCGAGCTCGTTAAGAAGGCAATCAAGCAGCTAAACCCAAATAAATCAGCAGTTGGAAAATGCACATGTGACACCAATCTTTAAAAAAGGATCTAAAAGAACCCAAGTAACTACCGACCCATAAGCCTAACATCTGTACCATGCAAAATCATGCAGCGAATTGTACGAGATAGCATACTACAACATCTAGACCATAACAATCTTATAACAGACAGCCAGCACGGCTTCAGGGCGGGACGTTCCTGTTCGACACAACTGTTGGAATCAATAGAGGATTGGACGGAAATCATGGAATCCGGACACAATGCAGACGTCATATACCTAGATTTCGCTAAAGGGTTTGATAAGGTTTCACACCGTCTCCTTCTATACAAGCTGGAACTATATGGAGTCAAGGGATGTGTGCTAAATTGGATAAAGGACTATCTATCAAACTTGACACAGAAGGTAGTAATTAATGGTGAGCACTCCAATCCCCAACCAGTCCGCAGCGGGGTACCCCA